GATCTGATCAAATAAAAAGTCTAAAACTTAAACAATGAAATTAGGCAGCAAAGATATTTAAACATCAAGGCTAAATGTGGAAGAAGAAAAGGCGAGGGGCCAGAAAACCAGGCTTGGAGAATCTGGCAAGGAACGAACAAAAAGGAAAGCAGATATTCTGGAGTTGGAACAGGTGAGGTTGATTAATCAAAAATGGAGAAAGAAGCATTAAAAGAGGGGGAAATGACAACATAGATGCAAATACAGTAAGAAAACTCAGTTAAAAAATAAATAACTAAGATATAGACAAAAGATTAACTTAACCAGACTGTGCAAAACTTTTGTCATGTTTTGCACAGTCTGGTGCAACCATCAGCTCAAAAGTATTCGCAAGAAAAATTCTAGAAAAGATATCAGAAATGTTGAGGTTAATATCAAATATTTTTGAGGAAAGTAGTTTGAGTCTTTTCCTAGCAAATATTCAACTTTGCAAGCTCAGAATTTCCAGTTTTTTTCTATAGAATTTCTGAGATTAATTTCAAAATTTGAGTTTTGTCGAGCAAATTTTCAACTTTTAATTTTCTTGTTTTTGCTGTCGAAAATTTCTGAGATTTTCTGGCGGAAAATCCCTCCTCTTTTCTTTTTCTAAAGTAAAACCTTTTGAACTTCTGATCTAAGCAAGAATTAAATTTACAAATTCTGTTGTAAAGTCTAGGAAGTGCTATAATTTCAGGAATTATGGCGACAGAAAACAAATAATTTTGATCCACGACAGAGCAGCATCTATCTGACAGAGATTGAAGCTGATGGAAACTCTTCAGGTGCAGAAAAGCCAGTCTGGGTGGAACAAAGCACATCCTGAATATGATTAGTGTTTAATTAACCTTCGGACCTTGATATTACTGAGGCAGACTGAGATCAACTTTAAAGGAAGAACAAAAGGCAGCAACATCCAAAGAAAAGACGAAGAGAAGGACGTCCTTCAAGAAGTCTGCAGACCTGCTCCTGAACGCCGCTCAAAGAAATAATTACTTCCTGAAATCGCTTTCCAGTTTTTAGCTTTATTTAAATAAGTTGCCACATTTCTTTTCTTTATAAAACAAAGAAATGTGTAGTTATAACCTCTGCAGATAAGGAGCTAAAACATTATTCACCAATATCCTGCAACGTCCTTTTAACAGCAGAAAACAGATTAAACTATTTATTACATCATTTCTTCTCCAGTACATAACTTTACATATTTATTAAAACTCTCGGTCTGTCCTAAAAGTATAAAATGAGACAAAAAATGAAAAAAATAAATAAATAAATCTACCATTTGCAGAATTACACCATTCCCCGTCAGAAAAAAACAATCAGAACCAGGAGGAGGGTCTTAGCGCTGTCAATCACCCTCCTGTATGTTCAAGGTCAAGATTACTATGTACTGCAGCTGTGCTAATGGCAGAGAAACAACCCAGCATTACAGGAAAACCTGATAATTTAGACAGATGAAGAGCACTGCTGGATTTCCCTCCTGAACCTGTCACATTTCTAGTGCTTTAGATCGTATAAACCCCATAAAACAAAAAATGTTGACATGTTAAACGTGTAATTTCACAACAGCAGAATTAAAAAAACTCTAATTAGTTTAAAAGGTTGCCCAGAAAGTCGGTCTTTATTCCAAAAAGGGATGATGATTTGGGATTGTTTTATAGGTTCAATCACTTCTTGAGTCAGACGATTGGTAATCTGTCCAACAGATGAGTTTTAACAGGAACAAATGTGCAACAGAAATGCTGAAATGAGAGGAATTAAGGTGTCGCAAGCCTCAAAATGCCTGAAATGATGCAGAGGGACATTAAGAGAACTCAAACAAACATCTGCAGACCAGAAAGAACCAAAACGCAGTTGCTAAGAAGAGTGAGCTAAAATCAACAACCGAATAGACAGATGAAATGACAAAGAAAACTCATTCCTCTCGTTATTAATGCTGGTTCTACAAGATGTTGAACGATTAGTAGCTCACAGAACAATTGACACCAATTAAAGCTTAATCAGGACGTTTAGTTATTTCCTGCAGTGATGAATCTGAAGGAAAGATGAAGAACATCTCCTCCTCTTTCTCCTCCTTCAGTTAGAGGTTCATCCATCTGCAGAGCGGTGCTTTCGCCTCGCTGATGCAGGGCGCGCTTCTGCAGCGGAGGTCATGCAGGGACATCAGGCGGCGCAGAACAAGGTCGCCGAGTCCCAGCGAGACAGAATAGTTAGAGCTGCATACCAAACAGCAAATCTGAGCCTCCCTCTTCCATTTGGAAAACATAAGCCTAGCTTTTTTTCTTTTTGTTTAAGACAATCCGTAATGAAGAGTTTGAACCCCACCCATGATTAATCCACATCAATTCCTCTCGTTTCCACGCTCCCTCGTGTCTGATAGTGCAGCGATGCTGCAGAGGACACACCCATCCTCACTCTGCCGCCTCTCTTTGACTCAGAGAAGTTGATGATGCTGCAGTGGAAACACAGACTGCAAGAACACAGAAAAAAGGACATTTCTTCATCAAATAAACAGGAGGAAGCCTGTAATTAAAGAGGGAGGGTTGATGGAAACCAAAAGGCTTTATTTTCTAGCAGACAGATGAGTACTTGTCACTAACATCGTGTAATTATATTCTCTAAAGAGCCATTAGCTATATTAGAGCTAAAAACCAACAAGAGGAAGGAATAAATTAAAAATTACATTGAATGAGTGTGTAATGGTGAAAATTGATGCTTTATTTTCATATTCCAATTAATTTTGTGAGCTATTGTAACTGTTAATGCTTTAAAGTTCTCCAAAAAAGATGCATTTATAAAACACCTAAAACCTCCTTTATTTTATGCTTCATTTAGCCAATTTGGAATTAAAACTGCTTTAATGTACGGATATATAACCTAAATATTTGAATTTAGTAGAACAAATGTGCATAATTGTCATAAAAGCTTTTTCTTAATACTTTAATGAAAAAAATTGTTGTGTTGCGTTTAAGTTACCTGCGAAAACGTAATTTCAACATGGCGACGCCCATAAACACTGTTTCAGTACTTCTTACAAACATCGTTTTAAGCTTTAATTTAAACTCCACTTTTAATTTCTTTAGCTTAGAGTTGGAGGCGCTTCATGTAACATTGATTTAAGACGCACTCTTACATGTGTGTCTGGTAAAATAAACACGGTTCCACGTGATCTGACTCTTGATGCGAGGAGCGGCCATTTTGAAACGCGAAGTCCATCACAGCCGAAATTGCTCCCAGTTTCCCTTTGAGTTGATTTTTACTATTAGGAAGTTTAAATTTACCAGAGTGCATCTGGAACGTGCAAAAGAACCGTTTATTCTCCGGGTTTAAAATATATTAACGCCTGAAAATGCTCTTCTTTTTGCTGACGTGTGCAGATTTTAGCACCTTTTGTTGCTTTATGAAGTTTTTACTTCAGTGTTTGTTGTTTATAATTTGATCCAAAAAATCTTCAGGCTTCAGGAGGTTTTATACAACAAATAAGAGGTTTTATATTTAAGATTGTGAAAAAGTATTTGTTCCCATTCAGGAACAGACTAAACAGTTTCTATATAAGTGCTGCTGTTGCCCTGAATTAATCTAAAACCTGATCAACTTTTATTTATTTTTTCTTAAAATTCCAGTTGTTTCTACTATATTTTTTATATTTATTGGGATATATTTATTATTTTATTCAATTATTTAACTTGCCTTTGAGAGTTACTATTTTTTAAATTTTGTTATGCTTTGTTTTGCTTCCAAATCATAAATTTGGACGAATAAATAAAAATATTTTCAGAAATCCTGTTAGTTTTACACCAGATGTAGCATGAAGCACACCTTCCATAAGGTTCCACTTTTGTCTCATCAGTCCACAGAGTATTTTCCAAAGTTTTGGGGATCATAAAGATCCTTTTTGGCCTTGAAACTCTCCACTGAAGGCCATTTTTGCCAAATCTCTGTTAAACCTGAACTCTAAGCTAAGCTGAGGCAAGTTTGGCCTGCAGGGCTTTAGATGTTACTTTTTGTTCTTCTGTGGCCTCATGGATGAGTTACTGATCCACTTTTCTCCATTCCTGGATAATGGCTGTCACTGTTCCCCTGAAGTCCCAAAGCTACAGACAACGGCTTTGTGGCTCTTTACAGGCTGATGCATGTCAATGTTTCTCATCTCTGCTTGACCTTCAGATCAGGGCATGTTGAGTCGCTTTTTATTGCAACCCAGTGTCGGAATATTATGTCTCTATTTCAAAGAAACTTTAATTTTTTTACCCAATTATTCAGTCTTTGAATGTTTTGGATGGGAAATTTGCTAATAAATTCTCCCTACAGAGTCACAAGTTACCACAAACTTTACTGAGAAAGATCTCTGTTGTCCAACATTCCAAATTATTCAAAAAGTAAAAGGTCTTTGTTTTTTGTGCAACATTTAATTTTGTTACATTTTAAAACATTTTAATCTCCAAAGTTCTACAAAACCAACTACAAGGATGAAGTTTTTCTTGCAGAATTAGGACATTTTAGCCTACTTCATGTTGCCAGACCGGTTCTCTTTAAAAGGTTTTTTTGAATCTACAGTCAAGCTTTCAAAAATGGGCCTATTCAAAGTTAATTTATGATTTAACAATTAGGATCTGGTTACCTTGATGGCTTTCTTCAGCTTGTATTTACTCAGATCACTTTTGTCTGAAATTAAAGTTTGTTTGAGCATCAAAAAGGGCAAAAACAAAAGAAATTAATTTTTTTGCTGCATTATACCGAGATGTTTCTCGTTATAAAACCTTTATGCTAAGCTAACCAGTGCAGATTATTTCCTTTCAGTAAAAGCCGAGTTCATTTCTGAGAAAAACAACGGCTCGGGCTCAGGGGAACACATCTGAATGTTTTTCTTGCAGACATTTTGTGGTCAAATGTGAGAATCCTTGACACTTTTCACATGAGGGTTAAAAAAAAACAGTGTAAGAAAACATTTTCTCAGCTATCTGGCAATAAAAACTGATGGGACATTTTTTTTGTAGAAAACAAGAGTTCTACCTTTAATGTCTCCAGCCACATCATATTGTACATTTACAGTACAGATCCCAGATTCCATTTCGATTCTGCACCCCTCACAGTTTAAAGTTTTCAACTGAAAAATACGACAGAACAATGAACAAAAAGACATATGCACAAATTAAAACTTATAAAAATATAAAAACAGTACTCTTAAATCTCATGTTGACAAGTACCATATCAATAACATAACTGATAAAAGCACAACAGAGCAAAATTGAACTGTTAGATTTTTTTAAATAGAAGAAAAGACATTTTCATCATGCAGAAGTTGTAATTAAATAACCAATCAAACAAAATAATATATACTTCTCTATATATCTCTCTGAAATTTTCAAGTCAAAGCACTCCCATCCCTTATTCAGGGAAAAACAAGAAATGTTTAAAAACACCAGAGGGTCTGCAATGCGTTCACGAGCCGCCATCTTTGCGTGGCCTTGTGTCGAAAACATCGCATCTCGACGTCATCTGTTTGGCACAGAAAGAGACGTCGCAATGGCAGTAGCATTTTGCATCATAAAAATGGGCGGAGCTGAGCTCATTTTCCAAGAATAACAAAACAAAAACAAAAGAATAAATGATAAAAAACAAATTAAAAACATTCTGTGCAGCTAAATCCCTCAGGACAGTGAGTGGTGCTTCTCCCCAGCAGTGGTTGCAGCTCAGTTCCTACTGCAGCATGCTCTTGATAGTCTTGTTGGTTGATTCGTCATTCAGATGCTTTGTGGTGTACCTGGGATCCAGAGGAGAACAAAAACAGAAGACGTAGTTTCTAATTAATACTTAAATCGTCATGTAAGCCAAACTTTAGCAAGTCTGAAGCATTTCAGGGCCACAAAATCTGATAATTTTAAATTTAAAAATGCAAAAGTGAGTTCATTGTGATTTTATTTTTATTGTTTTAACTAAAATAAACGAAACATGCAATAATTACGAAATGAACAAAGTGGTCTGATTGTTGAAGACATTAAATTTCCTTAATTAAAAAATATCTTGGTTTGTACTTACAATGTTCTATTTCAAGAATATTTTAAGCTATTGGTGAAAATTTCAAAATTGTTAGTGGAGCAAATTTGCATCATTCTTGGGCCATGCAAAACAATTCCAAGAGCCACAAATGGATCCAGGACCACCCTTTAGACACCCCTCACTTAAATCATTAGAAGGTTTTTCTGTTTGTTTGTTTAACAAAAATGGATAAAATCTGAAATATTAATGTATTAAATTGTACAACACATTGAGTTATCTAGATTTTATCTGATTTAGTTTGTAGAGAGTGACGTTGAAATTATTTACAGATTTGAATTCAATCAAGAATCACAAATAATGCAAATAACTTGATAAAAATTACCACAAACTTTCACATTAAACAATTTTTTTTACTTTGTAACCAAAAATTTCCAAGCAGTTTCTTAGGAATTTCTGAGACCAAAATAAATGTGCATAAATGTGAAGTGGAAGAAAAATATGGATGGTTTTCAAAATTTTTGACAAATGTATTAAAGATGAAACATACATATTTATGAAGCCCCATTTACTTTGACACATCTAAATACATAACATTTACACTTGCACGTGAAAATGACTGAAAACAGATGCACAATTATATAACCGTACATCTTTGAAAGACATTAGTAGAGCCTCCTACACAACCAACAAGAATGCAGCAAGTGGTTTCTGGATGACAAGTCAACAACAAAACTCTTGTCTTTTCCAGCAGTCATTACACAGCTGTAAAACCAGCTGACCAAATGTGTTGGAGTTCTGCTTGGGTTGCTAGGTAACAGGCTGGAGTTCTGATTGGGTTGCTAGGTAACAGCGCAGTGTGACTCAACAGTTGGGAAGGGCTCATTTTCTAGACACCAGAAAATATTAACTTATAGTTAAAAAATGTTTGTTTGTTTTTTTCCCAAAGTGCTTGGGCTGTTTTTAGAAGCAGTTGAGAACCAAATTAAAGTACAAAAACATACAAAAAGTGAATTTTGCATAATAGAACTCCTTGAATGCATCTAAAAATCAAAGAAGTCGCATTCCTTTGACTGTTTTTGAGAATTTGTAGATAACATATAAGTTATAACTTCTTTGCTTATTCACAGTGTGATTTACTAAAGTTAGCTCTTCATTTATTTTAAGTCTCGTTTAAATAAATATGCTCAGAGAGTTAAAGCAGTGAACCTTTTAATCTGGAAAAAGCTTTTTAAAAAACACATTTATGAGCAGGTGTCGTTTAAATAGTCAAAAACAATATATTTAAATGAAGGCCGTCATCATTTACATTCATATTTTGAAACAAATTACAGAGAGAGGATGAGTTTTAAGGTTCAGTAAAGTCACTGCGAGCGTAAATCCTGATGGTATCGTTTCTCCGTATTTTGTCATCCTGTCAGATCAGAGCTGCGATCGCAGACGTTAAATCTGCTTGTGCATGAAAACGACCGGAGGACAGGAAGTGGTGGCCGCCTCTGGCCCATCGCAGATGTGGGGCTGGCTCAGATTATGACCCTGTCTGTCTGAGAGGCGGCGACCCGGGCGGCCTTTGTTTGGACCGAGAGGGACGAGGTGTCAGATTTAATCTGGGGATTTTTTCTGAGCTGGAATAATGAAGCTCACAGTGAGTCAGGGAGAAGAAAATAATCCAGGGTGTTCAAACGGAGATGTGACTCGCCACAGCTCACCTGAGAGCGTTGAGAAGGCCATCTACGCTGTTTGGAGGCTGATCTTTGAGGACTTTGATGCAGCCTTTCATCTGCAGAGAACAAATGCATCATCTGGATTAAAACGAGATTAGAACGAGATTAAATTGAGATTTAATCTGCAGGAAATGTTCAGAAACAAAATTCTACCTAAAGCAAATTTTAGAGATGGAAGTGCTAAAGTTAATGAAGGAAGTAAAGAAGGAAGACAGGAGAAGATTAAGGAATAAAAGAAGGAAGGGCACAAGAACAAGGAAGTAAAAAAAGAAGTAAGTACACAAGGAGAATGATGGAAAGAAGGAAGAAAGGAAGGAATAAAGGAAAGAAGGAAACAAGGAGGAAGGAACGAAAGAAGGAAGCAAGAAAGCAAGGAAGGAAAAAAGGAATAAAGTAAACAAGAAAAAGAAAGAAAGGAAGAGAGGAAGGAAGCAAGGAAGGAAAGGAAGAAAAGAAGGAAGCAAGGAGGGAAGGAAGGACATAGAAAGGGAAGGAAGACAGGACAAAATGAAAAATGGTGAAAATGAAGGAACAGAAAGATGGAAGGATGAAGGAAAGAAGGAACAAAGGAAGGAAAGAAAGTAGGAAGGAAGTATGGATACAAGAAGGAAAGGAACGATACACGAAGGTAGGAAAAGAGAAGGGAGGAAGAACATAAAAAAGGAAGGAAGGAAAGAAGGAAAAGAGTATTAAAGGCAAAATAAGTGATGGAGAGATGAAAAGAAAAGAAATGAATGAGGAAAGAAGGGAAAGACGAAGAAAAGGGAAGGAAATGACCAAAAAAATTAAAGGTAGGAAGAACCAAGGATGAAAGTGAGGAAAGAAGGAATAGAGGAAGAAAAGAAACAGTTGATAGGATAGAAAATCAACTTCTCTCTATAATCTTTAATTCTTTCCTGGAAAAACTGAAATCATCTCTGGACTTTCCGAGCCTCTGAGTAAGAATCCTGTAAACAGCGTCACAATCTGATCTTTTCTCAGCTTACATCGATTTTAGATGACTTGGCAAAGGCTCCAACAGGATGGACGTAGTCGTACAAGATGATGACTCCGACCATCACCCTGAGACAGAAGGACACCGTGTCCTCGCTGTTGAAACGGCTGCGGTACTCCCTGAAAGAGACGCACAGCAGGGATCACAGGCCTGAAAAAAAAAAAGAAAAACCCGGAGCAGACGGGAAGCAGGTGGAGGGAATCACTCACGGCGTTTCCAACATGACTTTACACACACTCGCCATCGTGCTCAAGCAGTCTGTCGTGTTCTCGATGGGCAGGTTCTTGTTCTGCGGGAAGAAAAAAAAGCAACATGGCGGCGTTTCAATAACTTTTAAATATTTAGGACTTCCTCTCAGATGAGTCTAGCTTCATGTCTCAAATATAAACAAAGAAACTCAAACAGCTTTATCAGAAGTTAGAGAGACATTTCTGACTTTTAAAGCTGATGTTTAATTTTCAGCCATAAATATTTCTGGAGGTTAATGTCCACCAGGAGGAGACGCAGGACACTCTGGAGGGACTCACAAATGAAACTCTTTGAAAAACATGTTCCCCTCCTCGCCTGTGGGGGCGCTGCACCAAGAACCTCTGAAGGAAACGACACAAAAACCTCTGAAGAAGACACTGAGCGCAACTTCCTTCTTCACAAAATGTTAACAAAAATGGAGTGGCATCAGATTTTAGATGTAGGATTTCTGTTTGGTAAAAGACCACAAGCCATTTCTTCTGCTAGCATTAAATTCTTGCCTTTGTTTTGTTTGTATTTACCCAGAATGCCCTGCGCTATAGTCCACTTCGGTCTCCAGTTCCCCTAACATTCACATCTGCATTCAAACTCCACCAGAGTTCACTACAACCGAGACCGAGGATTTTAGGTGGACCGGAATTTGCTTTTTTGGTCTGCGCATTCAGACCTCCCCAAACGAACCGGAGTTCATTTACACCCATCCTTATTGGTCGACTTTAAATCCAGTTCACTTGTCTAGAAAGTTTGGTCGTTTGGGGAGGTGTGAATGCGTAACCGAACTCTGGCCCACCTTAGGTCTCATTTAAGGTGGAAGTGAATTCTGGTATGGTTTGGATACATATGTGGATGCAAGCGGACCGGAGACCGCTCCAACAGGATTAAGTGGACTATAGTGAAAGGCATTCTGGGTAAATACAATCAAGACAAACGGATGAGTCTAGCGCTAGTGGGAGAAGTGGCTAGTGGTCTTTTTCCAAAGACAAAAAATGTTAAAATTTTGTGAAAAAGGAATTTGCTCTTTTTCAGAGGTTTTTGTTTCGTTTCCTTTAGTGGGTCTTGACGCAGCGCACCCACAGGCCAGGGGGGGAACAGGTTCTTCAATTAATTTGATTAGTTTGACGCAGTGCAGTGTGAAAGCGTACTGCAGTAGCTGAAAATGTAATAAATGTTGCAATTTTGCTCCCAACTGGGCTATCAGGGATAAAAACACCCTAAGCTTTTCTGTTTAGGCTGCTGCCTCTGCGACTCCAGACTGAGCAGAACAAAAATGCTTCAATCTTAAACTGGCCAAAACTAAAATAATAAATTTTATAAACAATTGATGAATTTTTCTCACTTCTCCTAAGTCTTATTTGTATCCCACGGTACAGTAAAAGCGTTCATACTCCTTAAACTTGCATCATTTTCAGTCCATTTCACAATTATGCTGTACTTTGTTTTGGCTTTTCAGATAAAATCTTTAATTTCTGGCCTCTCACCTCTGATACGAACTTCGTTGTGCCGTCACTTAACGTCTTCAGCATGGGTGTGGCGTCAGCGTAGAACAGAGATATCCGATTGGCCAGTTCGTTGTTGACTTCGTTCTCGCCTTCTGCCTGGAAATCGAACAAAATAAAGCCAGACTGAGTGCGGTTATTTAACCTGCAGACCTGTCATCTATTGTTCAGGTCGTCTGACCTTCATATAAAATTCTTATGAGGACCTTTAGCTGACCCCAGAGATATAAAAGAACTGTTATCGGAGTAAAATTTGAATGAAAAATGTCAAAGTAATAAAACAAAAGGTGCTACTGAATGAGTAATCTAAAAGCCATCTCTTCCTGCTTTCACTGCATATTGGAAGATAGGGGTAGAAACCATTAATATCTGGTTGCTCGAGCAGCTTCAGTGGAGTGTGCGTTTGTGCATATGAAGAGATATTTTCTCACATGAAATTATGACAGGAAAACACTGATATGAACCGCTTCACCCCTTAGTTTCCCAGCTGCACAAAACACCTGGCAGATAACGGAGAACAAGGTGTCTCTTGAAGAGCCTGAGCTAAATTCGTCCACATATTTAAAACGAAACAACAAGGGAACATTTCCTGCCGTCAAGAGAAACCCTGACAGGACGAGAATAAATCGCCCCAAACTTTCAAACCAATTCAGGTTTTAACGAATCCTGACGGATGTGTTCAAAGACAGCCTGAGCGGGACAGATGCGTTTCATCTCGGATGTCTGAATGATTCAGTTCTCTGAGCGGTGACTAAATCGGGGGACGGCAGCCGGGGCGTCGTTCAGCGCCGACAGGCTCCCAACGACGGCTTGTCTGGGCCCGTTTCCCCTAATGGCAAACTCATGACCGAGGGGAAGAATGCTTCCGTCAGACAGGTCACAACGGAGACCAGACTGTGAAATTTAAACTACCGCCTTAAACAAGCAGCAGACGAGGAGAGATCAGCTGGAGTTCAGCATGAAAGATACAAGACAGCGAATGGCTTTTTGAAGCTCGGTAACAGCAGAAACCTTTAACTGGGCCGCTTTAACGGTCCATTAAAAACAATCGGGTGTTAAAACTTTTTAAACGCCTTCTTTTTGTGTTGAAGGGCTATATTTGATCCTTTCTGAAGCCATCAGATCTGCAAGGGAACAAATCAATGGGACAGTTCTGGAGCAGGAAAATCATCATTTCCTCCCATGTCAGGCATGAATGGAATAAACAAGCACCTGGATGCAACGCTCAGTACAGATGAGAACACAGAAATGGGGGTTTTCATGGCCAATATTAACCAGAGGGGTCAGTTATTCGACAAAAGCGAGGCCAGACATGCTCCTACAAGCTGAAAACAACCAATTAATTGACTGAACAGCAACTCAGACAGTGAAAAATCAGATTTTTTCCATTCAAATTAAATGATCCAAGTATCTTCAAAGAGTCGTTTTGGATGGTGATGCTTTGGCTAAGAAGGCTCTCCAGTAGCAGTCAATCTCGCAACTAATCTGAAAAGGCCTCTGACTGAAGACTGTGATTTCATGCCAACAGCTATTAGCAAGCACTGCTAATCCACCTCATTTGCTTTTGCAGCTCCTCTTTAAGTCTCATCGTACATTTAGAAAGCAGGACCAAGATTAACCTCTTAACCGTCTGTAGAGTCGAATTAACTTCAGTATTTTTATGTTCAGTTGTTTGTTTTTTGATTAAAATAGAATATATCTCAGTTCCTGTGGGTCTTTCTTGTAATCTTTGCTTTAACTGGAGTTTCATCATTTTCCTGAGAGAAAAATATTTTCACTTCAATGAGGAAAAGAGATATGATCCTTCAGATTTTTCATAGCAGGCTTATTCATGAACATTAATATTGTTAAATGCATCCTACACGTGTCGCTATGATTCATCAATTTTGGAAATGTTTTTTAAATTGTTAGAAAGTCAACAAACACAACCAAAAGGACGTAAACTGTTTAAATTGTAGTAAATAGGCTTGTCTGACCTAAACGGGTATATTAATGTAACTGTTTTACAAACAGCAGAGAAAGAAATTATATCATTCCTTTGGAGTGCTTTTCTTTTCTCCTCCTGAATATTTTGATCCCAAAGCTCTCTTAAGATCAACTTATGAGGGATATATTTAATTTTTAACAAGCTAAGTGCTTTATCACATTCCCCAGTTTGTACCCAACTGTGTTTATGTGTCGTTTAGTGATGAAAACACAAATAAGAAAAGACCCATGTGGCCTGTTTTTGTAGGAATGACTGTAAATTTTGATCTGTAAAACCAAAGATCAAAAGTTGCCCCCTCCTCCTCCTCCTCCTCCTCCGTCCGGCTCTTTAGCGAAAGCGTCCTCACCGGAACGTTATTGATCCGCATTCGGCTCAGGGTTCGCCTGTAGTAGCTGAAGTCGTTCTGAATGGCAGGATTTGTCATCTGGAAGAGAGGAGAAATGGGGAACAATGAGACGGGTCTGCTGTGGGGCGGCGAGTTCAGGATCAAACCCGCCGCTGCGCTGTCATGACAGAACGTTTTAGCCAGCAAGGCAGAAATGCAGCTTTGGGCAGGAATGACATAAAAAGAACACGGATACAATTACAGCTTTATTTGCTGAACTGAATTTAAGTCGTCTGACACCGATTCGGCCCCTTGCATCCCCATCCTCCCTCTCCTCCTGTCAGGAGATATTTGGCTTTTTTCCCTCATTTTACAGGAATCAGCTGCACCGTTTCTGACAGGAGGGTAAAGCTAAATAAAAAAAGTCTCATTAAGTCGAGGCACAGCACAAATCTGTGACATTATTTACACTCAGAGCTTCACACTTACTTTAAAATATGAAGCATCTTATTTTGACCTCCTGCAAAAACGAAGCTGTCCAATGAGAGAGCTTCTTACAAAACGGTACCACCAGTGAAAGCTCATTATGTGGGTAATTATCCTCATTCCTGCACGAGCCCGTCACTGTCAAAGCTGCACTAGCAGCATGTTAATCCTGCTACAATGGACTGGTACTTCGTCTTTGTCCACTGCTTCCACCAGCGGAGACAGTCTGCACTGCCAGGGCGGGGCTGCATGCCACTCAGACGCTCTAACTAGGTCAGAAGCCCGTGCACGGATGTGAAAGATTGATGAATGGGCCAGGCATGCCACCTTGCACCCCCCATCTTCATGTTTTATCTTGCCAGACTGGGTGGTGGGTACTAATTGGGGTGTCGCCTGGGGGAGTCGGGGAGCCGTTTGCGTCTCGGAGTGAAGAGCAAACGAGTTCGGGATTACGTGTCGTTACAATGGGCATTTGAGCGACACCTACGCTTGATGTGTGAGACTTTGAACAGCGTTTCATTAGCACTCTGCGGCTGATTAGAGGCCAGATTCCTCATTTGATCGCTTACAGAAACACGACACACTCAGAAGCAAGAGCAGGATTAGGACAATTTTCAACCCTCAGTCTCCCAAAAGTCAACTTGTTTGTGTTGCAGCAGAATAAAGCAAACATTAGTGATGGGTGGAAGGTGAGCATTTCATCTTAGGCCTAATCCACACGTATACCTGGGAAAACTAATAAATTTTAAGCATTTTGGCCTCAGTTTAATCAGAGTTTCTGCAGGTTTCACCAACTCACCAATTAAGACTTTTAAGACCATTCGGAATGAAATTTAAGATTTGTATCACTACAGAAGTATACAAAAGAAAATCACAGATGAATAAATCCTGTGGGTTGGCAACAGAAGTGAACTAATGGCATCCGGCAGACTGACGATGGACATAAAAAAAAAGCTAGTTAGTTACTGGTAGCCTCAACCGCTTCAAGTTACGACTGCAAGTTTTGCTAGAAGTAAAGTTTCTCCAGAAATCAGAAAACTACAGAATACATAGGATTAAATCCTCAAACCAAAGAGGAAATCTGAGAAAACTCTGCATTTGTATCTGTGTGTCTACATGGAAAAATAGAGATTTGGGGTATTACAGTCTGTGATAAATAATGCACCAATGTAGCCTCATCGACATGTTTCCAGTCGATATCGTCTTGTGTTTTATTAAATTTATATTCCAATACACTTTTTAAAAGTATTTCAACTGTCCACACAAATTAACCTGCTAGTTCCACAGTTAATTCCTAACAGGAAGTTACAATCTGTTTGGCTGACACAGGTGTTGGCACTACACTGCCCCCTATGGGTTTGGCATGTTAAAAACAATGCTCAGTGGTGTAATTAATTAGGTGTGTGTGGAGGTAAACTTTTATGAAACCCATCCCGTGTGTAAAATGTTATATTTTAACTATGTGGAAGAAATATTTGTTTTATTAAGATCGTACTGAGTGTGTACAAAGCCATAGGCAGAAACGGTCGAACCTTCAGCTCGTCAAAGCGCAGGGTGAAGTGCAGGATCTCAGCGAACTGCTTCGCCAGCGCCTGCTCCCGCTCCAGGTGCTGGGTCGGGTCGCTGTACGTCTCGTTGGTCAGAGCACCCAGCAGGCTGTGCAACGCCGCTTCTGTCAGAGAAAAACACATTTAAAGACGTTTATTCTCACAAAAAACAACCAAGAGAAGGTTCTCAAACAAGTAGTGGAGCTGAACTTTGTACCTTTTTCCATTCGAGTGCAAAGCTAACGACTACAGAAGCTAAATATTAGAGCCATCAATATTAATGCAATTAATCAAAAACGTTTTATTACTAAATAATGCAGATTAATCACGTTACCTATTTTGGTTACTTAGATCAAAGAAATACTAAAACTTTTGGATAAAAGGAAGGTAGCATAGAGTTACTTATTGCAAACAGCCAGTTTATGTTTAGCATTTCTAAATTACGTTTGAAACAAATTTAATTCTTTTAAACATTCCTGGATCTGAAAAACTGAGATGTTCGGTTTAGGAAAGTTAAAACTTTTTCTGACACATTTTGACATAAAAGAAAACTTATTTATAACACCTCTTTGTGATATGAAAATTACTTAATTATTCACCAAGAGGAAAACAGACACGCTTAACTCTGCAGAGAAGTGTCACTCTCTAAGGGGACAAGTGGATGCAAACTGAAGCTGCTGCCAAAAAAAATGAATCCCCACAGCAACAGATGTCCTCTCCGCAGGACATCTCCCCACATTGCTTAATTTACCCCCAAAAATACAACCTAAAACTTCACAAATGCAAACATCATCCTAAATTTTACTCTCAAGACTCAAAGGGATAAAAGTTAAAGCAAGGAATGATCTCCTGTCGTCTTTGTTTGAGGTCAAGGAACAAGTGTCAGAGTGGATCCTGGTAAAGTTCCCGAAGCGTCAGCCGGCTGAAGCATCCTGATTCTGGGCCAGCAGTGAAATTGCCCAGAGGCCAGAGGCAGGAAGACGGGGTGCAGGGCCTCTCCCGTTCAGATGCAGATGAGACATGGGACTAATTATCTTATTGGCATGGAAATAAGAAGGGAGGAGGGGATGGCATGATGTCATTCAAGCAGGATTACAGTCATTGTTTTGACTGTGCCATGCCTTGACATTACATACCCATGGTCAGATAATTAGGGAGGCATGAGGAGGGCCGGGCGGGAAATGAAAAACACATTAAGGGAGATTCAACTGAGAACTTCCAAAGGAGAGTAATATTATACAAACATGTCTTCTTCACATGAAGGGAACCCAGAGGGAATTTTATTTATAGACGCAGACGGGGTTTTGAGTTCAGTCTCAAAGCTTCAACAGCGACGTAACTCAGGCACCGTTGTAGCAAATTCAATTTAAACTGATTTATTCCAAGTATATTTTACAGTTCGTTATGATCACCAATCACGATGCTCATGTCAACATGACCCAGATTCAGACACGGCTTTACTTAAGATAACGGGGGTAAGAGGACTTTCAGGAGACGGGCTGAGAGCTGGCAGGGCCGCGGCAGTGAACTGAGCGCGTCTGCCATCCGGTAATGACTACCATCTGCTTGGGATGGCGTTTGCAGCCGAGCGGCTGATTAAAAATGGCCAGAGTGGTGCAGTTTTTTTCCCTCCTCCCTCGTCTGCGTCCCAGTCAAAACAGAAGTTAGAGCAGAGCTGCTTTTAGTGCCGTCGGAAACGCGGCGCTCCAAAACGTCGGCGAGACGGGGAGAGAGAGAGAGAGATGGGGGAGGGATGTCTGATCTCATCAGGTCATAGCGGAGCAGGCGAGGAGGATCTGAGCATGTCTGATCTTTATTTTCAGAGATCGAAACTTTACGGGAAGGTAGATGCTGATATGACTGTTCTTCAGAAAAGAAGCACCACCTTCATTCACCAGAAACACAAAGTTATGAAATGACCATCACATGCCTGACAGGAGAGTCAAATTCATTTTCCTTTTGGGCCAAATCAAAATCATGAATTTTCCTGCAGGAGCAGTTGTACCAGAATCTACTGATAAAACCCGTTAAGCTGTTAAAATATAAATAAATTCTTAAAATTAAATAATAATTAACATCTCGTCAGTCCCTTCAGGATTTCGCGATTGTCTTTGTGAATGGACTTATGTATGATGGTAAATACGACTTTATTACTCACGGCATCATTATTATGGATTATAACTCGACAAAGTAAAGCTGAGGCAGCTGTTTAGTAGAAGTAAGAAATACTGCCACCTACAGCTGGGACTAAAATGTCTATTAGATCAAACATTTTTCACCCTTTTCGTGAAAAATTTGCAATAAACTCACAATTATGCATGGGAAAAGTGCAGGGATTTTTTGGTTTTGCTTGAATTTTCACAATAATTCACAAGAAAGCAAACGTTTAAAATTTCAAGATATCCAGATGATGCCACCATACCTACCATTTCATTAACAGTTAAGACCTAACATGTTTAGTTTGGGAAACTAAAGCACAGAAATGCTTCACTTTTGTCTTGATTGGTCTCTCTGCATTTTATTTTGAAAGGCCAACATAAACTCTCAATTGAATCACTGGTGATGCTTCAATAATGTAGAAATTTAGCCCATGAAATATTGAGTGTTTTATTTTTTTTTAAGAGAAAAACATTAATAGGTTAAATAATGAGCCCTGAGGAATCATCTGAGGCTCTTATTTTGAAAAGTATCAATTATAAATATTAATCTCTGAAACCCATTTAGAAACTATTGTTTGTTGAGAAAGTCATTTTTAATTTTTAAATTGCAGATATTACAAAGTATGGTAAAATGTGAAAATATTTAATTGATGGATGGAACGGCCGAATTTGTCACTATATCTATATTTTAAAGGATTAGTTATGAGTGCAGACCCCTGATTTTTGGAACCAGATGGATAAAATTTTGATGTTTCCCAACAATTAAGTCAACAAAATGTAAGATTTTCACTTTCTGCACTGAAAACATCTCAAAACTGACTCCTGCTGCAGTTCTCTGATTATTCTGCATTTATTTTTGTTTAAAGATGGACTCATTTGTTTGAAAAGCAAAGCCGCCCATTACATAAGCGGCTCTTCTGAACAGTCCGGCTCTGTAGTAGACGTTCATCTTCATGTGGATAAGTCAAGACGCCAGGCCGACACGGACCCTGAAGCCAGGAGCCAAGACAGTGAATTAGAGCAGCAGCCGACGCTGAGAGATGACCTACTTTGTTACATAACAGCCGCCGTCAGGCTGCCGCCGCCCACTGCTCCCATTGAAAACCCCGCCGTCCCGGGGTTGATGCTACCGAGGCGTGACAGGCTCCGCCCCCCTCCTCACATAGAGGGTCAAAAGAAGACCATGGAGCAGAAAGCCAACTCCCCTCGACTCCTTGATTCTGTGCTAATTAAACACGCTGTAGCCCCCTCCCACACAAGAAATGAACTAATAAACAATGCAAATCCATGGAGGCTTATCAAAGCCACAGAAAAGAGGCTGGGGTAATGTTGCATGGATATAGGTAGACATGTTCAGCCAATAATTTATGAAAATGGTGCAAAAAAATAAAAGAAAAGAAAAAACAAAGATAAAAGAAGTTCCAACCAAGTCACAAACATCAGCAGGAGTTTAAAGGTGATCCATTATGCTTCCTTGAACAGGTTAGGATTGGGCTACGAGCGAAACAAAACGGACTCATTACATTTTTCGCACAAAATAATTCTTAAGATTTCAGTCTGGTCTGATATTTTGAGCTCCTTTCAGGACAAACTGTTTTAGGCCATCTTGTCACTTTAAATCGGTGCTGGCCACGCCTCCCCAACTCAACATTTACACTCGCACGTAAAAATGGCTGCAAACAAATGTACAATAACACAAACGTACATCTTTGAGAAGCAGATGTGGAGCCTCCTGCACAACCAACAAGAATGCAGCAAGTGGTTTCTGAATGGTAAGTCATCAACAAAACACTTGTCTTTTCCAGCAGCCATTGTACGGCGCATACGGTGGTAAAACCAGATGGTCAAACATGTTGGTTGCTAGGTGATGGGTAGAACCTCGCTGGGGTTGCTAGGTAACAAACTGAGCTTTGTTACGGTTGCTAGGTGAGGAGCAGTGTCTGCTGTTTTGTGCTACATTCAGAAGGTTTTTTCCTTCTGGGTTATTTTCCAGACACCAAAAACACATGAACTTATTGCCAAAACACAACTGGGCGATTTTTTTAAAAAGCAGTGGAGACACAAATGGAAGTACAAAAATGCGCAAAATCTGAATTTTGCACAATATGTCTCCCCTTGAGGGAAAATACCAGAGCACACCTGAGATTGCTTCAGGGTAAACCAGCGATATCATTGTTGCTCTCCTACCAGAAACAGAAGTTAGTTACCTAATCTCTGGGAGAACTCATAGAACTTCTTCAGTTTTCCCACCAAGGGAACCACAGCTGCCCACGCCTGTTCCTGCAAGGCATCATCGCTTGGATTCTGGATTGCCTGCAGGAAAAAAAAAAACAATGATTTAAAGTTTTGTATGGCAATAGGTTTAAAAACATTTAAACCAAACAATCAGAAGCATGCAAATCAAATGTTTAGAGTTTCAAATGATTTAAATGAAAATGTTTCTGCTGTATACGTTTATTGAAACACTGGGAGGAAGCAGACAAGTTTTGCTTTGTGCACTAGAAAGGAGTTAGGTTTTGCATTTTCAAGTCTCTGGAGTCTTCAAAGAAAATCCCTGGACTAGGACATAGCTCTCGATTTTTCTATTTGTTTTGTAATGTAAAATATGCAACTGACTGTCAGGATAAACTATATTTAGAAACTTAAGTGTTCACTTCTTCCTACTCCTTTTCAAACATTAAAGTAGTGGTGAGCTTATAATTTTCTTCTTTTTAGTTCTTTTTAACTTGTTTTTGCTTGACCTACTAGTTACTTGTGTTTTTTAAACTAAAATAAATAAATAAAAGAATCTTATTTTTGTACATTACAAATATATTCATAAACCTTTAACTTTTTATTGAGCTGTTAGAAGCTGGAACTTTAAGGTATTTTATTGAGATTTTGTGTGAAACACCAAAACAAGGCGATGCAAACTACAAAGTGAAAGGAATATAATGGATCGTTTGGAAAAAATAACATCTGAAAAGTGTGGCATACACTTGTATCCAACGCCAAGCGTAAGTAATTACACTTGTGTTACTTTCACTGTAATTACAGCTCCAGGGGCCTTTTTTGGGTTCGACTAACAGCTTTGCACATATACAGACTGAAATTTATCACAATTCGTCTTTGAAAAACAGCAAAAGTTAACCAGACCGGATGGAGAATTTCTAAAGATCACCAAAGATTATCAACTGGATTTAGGTCTGGACTTTGACTGGGCCAAAAAAAAAAAAAAAGAATATATGCATCTCTGTTTGAATGTTTAAGGTTGTTCTTCTGCTGAAAGGTTGAACCTCCAGTCCAGGATCAAATCATTTGCAGCAGTTACAAACATTTCATTTGTAAATACAAATGCAAAATGTATTTCACTGTGATTTTTTTTTTTTACTTTACAAGTTCAACAATACATTTAACACTTTTATTAAAAGAAACAAAGTGGTTTGAGGGTTGTAGAAAACAGATCTAATTCATGCTTGATTCAAAACATAAAAAGGCCATTGGATTTGTTAAAAGACAAGAAAATTTTAGGATTAATTATCTTAAACTATCCTCAGCTGGAACTTCTGAACTTCTTGTGTTGGTCAGACAAATATGTACCATTTGTAAATCATTCGAAGGGCCACAAATGATCCGAGAACCACACTTTGGACATCCCTGATTAAAGCCTCTCAGTTTTCTTACAGTATTGCCCTGAATTTATCTCCAGCCATCCTCTTATCATCTGTCATCTGCTTCTCCTAATATTGATAAGTTCATTATAACGTGGCAAAAATGTCAATGAAACTAGCAACTTCTATAAATATTCAATAATTATTTACTTAAAACAATCTGAAAAGTTACTTATAAGTTAGTTTTGTAAGATATTTTCACTAGAAACTAGAACAGATATACTTGATAAAATGTTGTGTTTTTGCAGTGTATTCAGGTGGATTACAGTAACATCTGCACCTCTCTGATTTCCTGCCCTGCTCCTTTATAGGCCTGCAGTTCATCCAGGATCGCTTTGGCATCCTTCAGCACCACATCCACCTGGTCCCACACCTCTCGCTCTGCTTCTGTGGGCTGCGCATCTGCAAAGAAACAGCACAAGTTCCTGATTCATATTCACATCCTGACCCGTTATAAAGAGTTTCAAAGAACATCAAATCGTCAGCTATCAGAAAGTTTAATAAACATTTCCCCAATTATGCAAATGAAAGTAAGCAGAAATAATCTCTTTTTGACACCGCCCATTTTCCAGGCTGAGCGGCAGAAAACGGAGGAAGATAAGATGAGACAAATGGACTCGTGTACACCCTGTGGCTCTGAATACAGAGCAGAATACTAACGCTTTCCATTGGATCCAAACACACACAACACTCTGAATCACCTGAGATGATCTCTTCACCGCTCATTAATTTCATTTGCAAACAAAGTCAGGATTAACATACAATCTAGCAGCTTTCCTCGACAGAGCTGCATCAAATCGTTTGCTGAAATGTAAAAAATGCGAAGCTCTTTTATTATAAAAACTGAGCTTTTCAAGGAAGGATTTTTCTCCCAAGGTATCACAGAGTCTCTCGGTTTGCCAAGTGTAGCGCAGGTTGAAGCTGTGTTCAGGGGCCTTAGGCTATGCAGCAGCTGAACTTCAGCGCTTTAGATTTGGGGGGTTGGGGGCTCCCATTGATATTCTGCACACACACTGCAGTGGAAAATAGCAGGTTGATGGAAAAGTGCAGCAGCTCTAGAGCTGAAGCCGAATCTTTCGCTGCCGGGAGGAACTTGTGTAAGAGATAAATCGGTGTGTGAAAAAAAAAAAAAAGACTTACAGAGTTAGGGGTTGATAATGTTATGGAAACATATTCATGTGATCGATATCTGCAGTGGGAGCAATTACTCGTAAAGAAACTCACTTTCAAAATCGAGGAAGAAATTGGGCTCCTGTTCCAGATCTGTGCATGTCAGAACTTTCAGTAGGTTCCCCATGTTATGATACCTGTTGAAGGAGAGAGAGAAATCAATGGAGGAATGCAGCAGTGAATGTGATGAGCAGGTGTCGATGCTCTGCTGCATCCCGTTCGCCTCATTCCGGCTCTGCTTCACCGCTCTGATGCCTGTATGAACTCAGCAGATCCCCAGATGTGCCCACCGCTCATAGGCACCCCAAGCTCCCCTTGGACCCCGGCCCGCTGTGTGTTTCCTGCACTCAACTTCTCACCAAGCAGATGTCAAACCAGTAAGCCCCAAAAATAAAACAAAAGCTGAGTTTTTCTGCTTTGCTAAGCTTCTTCCCAGCATTTGAGAAGCATTTACAGGAAGTAGTATGCAAAAATCACCATCGTCCACAGGGATCAGACTTCTGATCCGAGTTCACACATGCAGCATGAAGCTTTTTACTCCACCAAATAATGTCCAATTAAATAGTTAAACTGTCAGCAGAGATGAATCTTAGAAAAACTGCTGTTTTAAAGAGGATCAAACCAATACCTGTTCATCTCTTGTGCAGTGAGTCTGTTTGACATCAAAATTTACACGCAACACCCTGCAGATTTTGCAGAAAACATCAGAAATACTGAAGCATTCAGCAAACATCTTATTATCAGATATATATGATACTAAAGTTTATTTCCAAAGTTATAATATTTACTTACAAGAAAGGACTCCACTGCAAAACTGAACTTTTCCAGACTCAAATTCCCAAGATTTTTCTGAATGTTTTTGCAACATTAACAGCATTTTTTGTGCAAAATATTTGCCTTTTAAAATTCCACAAAACAATAAACCAATTAAGTTTACTTTCAGATTGATGGTGTGTGCGCTGCATCAGCTCCATTTCCGTTTTATTCTACATGATTATCTAAGGCAAAGTTTAAATAATCATCTTTATGGATTATTATATTTTTATCTAAGGTCATCATACTGTCATGATTTCATGATGTTTACTGGCAAGAACATTGCTACATTTTCTCAAACTTGGAGGAAAATACTGGCTTTGCAGATTTAAAAAAAACACCAACATTGAAGATGTGAAAACCAATGGGGCCTCAACCATCACTTTTATTAAGGTAAAACTTGTTACAGAAATGTTTGATATTAAAACAATTAGATAATGTTACAGATATTTAAATGTTTTACTTTACTACTGAAACTGTGTGAGTGCTTTTAAACAAAATGGTGCCATAAAACCTCATTTCATCCGATGCAGAATACAGGACTTAATGCAAGAAGATTGAATGCTGAAGTAAGTTCACCTAGGCAATAAATCAACATACACAGACCCATTCAATAAATTAGAATATTATTTCAGCAACTCAATTCACTAAGTGAAGCACATTATGTAGATTAATTCCAGACTGAACCTTTTATTCCTGTTAATTAAGATGATTTTCCTCTTGCAGCTAATGAACACACGACATTTAGGATTCAATAAAACCAAACCAAAACAAAAAAAAGTTGAATGTGGGCTCAATAAAAGTAATGCTTAGCACCAGTTATTTTCAAAAGGCACTTTTAATCTGACAAGCAAACCTCATTGGAATGAGTGTAACTCTGCTATAAAGCATGTTGTGCTCTTTTCTGTCAGACCTGGTCGGTGCTGAACTGAAAAGGACCTTTAAGGAACAGGAATAAAGGAAAACTCGACTTCCACAGCTTTAGCAGACAGTCTGCGTCTACTTTCCTCCTACAGTCCACCCACACATGCTGTATACGGTTTATGCAATCCACAATGTATGTCTCAACCGAAGTTGTACAATCTGAAGTGACAGGCTCGCGCTGCTCTCTGCTATGTTGATCCACTGGCTCCTACAGAGAAGGAAGTTGATGTTTCTCACAGGCAAAGGTCAACAGATGTGTGTCAAGCCAGGAGTGGGGAAGAGTTTGTTTGGAGAAACAACATCCGGCTCCACCGCCGGCGACAGATTTAACCCCTGCTGACAGGGCGGAGACAGGCAGGATGCACTAGGCGATGGGCTGGGACGGTGGGTCTCACCTGAGATGAGTGGCAGGTAAAAAGCCAAAGTGACTGACTGAGGACGAGATCATGCCACTGCAGGTAATCCTGAACGACAGGGAGGTGCTGCGACAGAGCAAGGTACGCACTCAGCAGTCAGCAGCAGAGGGGTGAGACGAGGTGGTTTTAAAATGCATGAGATGCGTAGAGCAGGAGCGGGGAAGGGTGGGGTGCGTGGATTCTTCCATCCTAAATCATGGCAGTAGGTCGTGCTTTTTGTTTTCACTTTCAAAGTCAGGAAAAATAGCAAATGAAGAAATTTAATGCGGTGACACCTGAGCTCAAGTATTTATTCTTAGGGAGTTTTCACAGCTGATCGTCTGGTAGACTCGGTTTGATTCAGGATCAACATTTGTTACATCTGGTGCGGTTCGCTTTCACACTGCACTGTGTCATAGAAACCAAATCTTTTGAAAAACCTTTTCCCCTCCTCGCCTGTGGTGGCGATGAACCAAGAACCACTGAAGGAAACGACATGAAAACCTCACAAAATGTGAGGGACGTCAGATTTTAGTTGTTGTAAGGTTTCTCTTTTGTCTTCGGTAAAAGAGAAATCCTTTGCCAAAGATTTATTTGGCAAATGAAATCAAATGGGAAAAAAATGGTAAAAATCATAATTATGACATTATAATAATGTTTTCCAGCAGCCATTGTACTGGTGAAACCAGCTGACCAAACTTGCTGGAGTTCGTCTTGGGTTGCTAGGTAATGGCGCAATGTGACTGAACAATCAGGAGGTTTCTGAAGGGGCTTATTTTCCAGACACCTAAAAACATTTAACTTATTGTCAAAAAAATTATTGAATGTTTTTAGAAGCAATTGAGACCAAAATGGAATCACAAAAATGTGCAAAACTTGAATTTTACATATCAAATCTCCTTCAACTCTAGATTTTTTTTCAAAACACAATCAACTACTAACAAGTGTTTTGTAGTTTAATAAATACTTTGAAAGCCATTTTATCTTCCTCTACATCAACACGTTACTTGGACTGCTTCCTCCTCAAAATTTTGAGACCACCTGCAGAGACCCACCTGCCCCGTCCCGTTTACCTTCCACTAATGTGACCTGAATGTCTGACTGTGCCGTCACGCCGGCACCTCACCGGCTGTCAGAAAGCAGCACCTGATGCAGCCTCAGAAGAGAGCTGTCACAGACCTCGCCCTACGCAGTGATGCCATCCTTCCTGTGGTGCTCTGCTGCCACCTCTCTGCCGCCGCCGGCTGACTGGAGCTCAGACTCCGGTCGCTCTGCCAGCCGGCTGCGGCGGGGGGCACCGCCAGCCTGGTAGCACCCGGCTCCGCCGCTCCCCTGCGCCATTTGAAATTAGGTCATTTAAGGACAGGGATTTGAGTGGCTGTTTTTTTGAGTCTAAAAGAGAATCTTCAGACTAAATTGGGACATTTCACAGTCTTTCATTCTCAAAAATGATTCTCTGGTTGAATTTTAAGTTACAAAAGTAAAGACTAATAAACGACTTTGCAGTTTATTCAAACTTTATGATGAAAGAAACAAGACTGATTGATTGGATTATTCATGATTAATCGATTACTGAAACAATCTAATTTAGTAGTTGATCAAACATTAACTGGAGAGTAGAGATTTTAAAAATGTCAATTTGATGAAACAACATACTCAGAGAAGTAATTAAACCAAAACTGTACAGGAAATATATACATTTTTCAACTGAAATATTAATAAAAGAAAACTTTATATGCACGTTCTACCCAGAACTCAAGTAGCATAGTTTCACCTTCACCCAGTTCAAATTGTGCACTTTTTACTATCCAGTTATTAACTGGTTAATCCAAAAAAAAATTAGCCTTAGAGTATTTTTTCTGGCTGCAGATGCCTTCTTTTGCTACTAATGGCTAAGGAATCGTATGTTATTGCATTTTAGGCAATAAAATGTTTATTTCCTTAAATTAAAACAAGAATGCATTTGTTTATTTGCATGTTTTAATGTATTTCTATAATCAACAACCAGTCTATTTCTGACAATTAATCCAAACTAAGTTGCTTTTTTTTTTTTTTGGATAAATCAAGGGGCGTCCTCCATCAGCATCCCAGGGACACGGCGCCCGGCGACAGCCTTGTTGTTGTTTTGAACCCCCCCACTGTGCATCGCGTGCTCGCAGAGAGTGAGGGCGGCCAGGAGCAGAATGAGACGAGCCGGAGCCCGCGCAGCCCTCCTATTGGACAGAGCCAATCTACCCGACAGCTCGCTGTATCCATGGAGTCAAAAAAAAATTGGAGCCATTGAAAAACACGGCAGCAGCCAATCGGCGGCGAGCAGCGGGGTGAGGAGTGAGTACAGTAGTAGTAGGAAGTCGGAGCACAGGAATACATTAATACAGATGAGGTAATGTGCCAAAAAAAAAAAAAAAAAAAAGGGGGGAGGAGGGGGGGATTAAGTCAGGAATATTTAATTCCAGAGGTGATTTAATGTGAGCGGATTTTTCTGTGCAGCTCAGCAGAAGTCTGATTTAAATAATTAAAAGTAGTAAAGCAACTCACTCAGTTATATTATCAGCTACTAAATAAATACATTTAGTATGTGGAGTTGCTCCGAGCCACGCCTATGCAGCAGTCTGACCCCTACATGGCACTAATTTTAAACGTCTTCCCCTTCCCAGACTGCACCCAACCCCCCCACCATCCCTTAGCAGCAGCTGACACCGAGCACTGCGGCAGGCTGTCTGAATCCAGCCAGGGATACTGCTGACATTCCACTACTCAGCTGCAGCATGAGGATACACGTGCCCTGCTGCCTTACTATGGAGGAGGGGGGAAGAAAAACCACAACAACGCCCTCCCTTCTTCCAGTCAGAGCGAGCCTGGGGCGTCACGCGGGAGCCGCCGTGGACCGGCGGAGGGAATCGGTTTTAGTGTAGGAATAACTCCACTGCTGCTTGAATGAATGAATTATTTAACCCTGATGCAGGTGAAGTGAGGTGAAGATGCAAGGGAGAAATACATTTTTTTAAATGGGTGGGCGGGGGAGGGGTTCGAGGGGCGTT